ACAGCCAACATCATCCTAAATGGAGAGACTTTGAAAGCATTCCCCTTGAGAATGGGAACCAGACAAGGATGCCCTCTATCACCACTCTTATTCAACACTGTGCTGGAGGTCCTAGCCAGAGCAATTAGGCTAGAAAAAGAAATAAAGCGCATTCAAAGTGGTAGGGAAGAAGTCAAAGTATCTCTATTTGCAGATGGTATGATCTTATACACAGAAAAACCCAAAGAATCCACAAGAAAACTACTGGAACTAATAGATTTCAGCAAAGTTTCAAGATACAAGATAAGCATACAAAAACCAGTTGGATTCCTTTACACCAACAAAGAGAACCATGAAGAGGAAATCTCCAAATCAATACCATTTACAATAGCCCACAAGAAGATAAAAATACTTAGGAATAAATCTAACCAGAGAGGTAAAAGACCTATAGAATGAAAACCGTAAGACACTACTGCAAGAAACCTAAAGAGACCTGTATGAGTGGAAAAACATACCTTGCTCATGGATAGGAAGACTCAACATTGTGAAAATGTCAATTTTACCCAAAGCCATCTACAGATATAATGCTATCCTGATCCAAATTCCACTGGCATTTTCTAAGCAGATGGAGAAACAAATCACCAACTTCATGTGGAAAGGGAAGAGGCCCCGAATAAGTAAAGCATTACACAAGAAGAAGAACAAAATGGGAGGCCTCACACTACCTGATTTTAGAACCTACTATACCGCCACAGTAGTCAAAACAGCCTGGTACTGGTAAAACAACAGATACATACACCAATGGAACAGAATTGAGAAACCAGACATAAATTCATCCACCTATGAGCAGCTGATATTTGACAAAGGCCCAAAGTCCGTTAACTGGGGAAAAGACAGTCTCTTTAACAAATGGTACTGGCATAACTGGATACCCATCTGCAAAAAACTGAAACAAGACCCATAACTCACACCATGCACAAAAACTAACTCAAAATAGATCAAAGACTTAAATAAAAAATCGAAAACGATAAAGATCATAGAAGATAAAATAGGGACAAGGCTAGGAGCATAAACATAAACATAAACATAAGCATAAACACAATAAGAACCATAAGTAACAATGCACAAGCACCAGAAGAGAGACTAGATAACTGGGAGCTCCTAAAAATCAAACACTTATTCTCATCAAAAGATTTCACCAAAGACTCAAAAGACAACCTACAGACTGGGAAAAAAATTTTTGGCTACAACAAATCTGATCAGTGTCTAATCTCTAAAATCTACAAGACAACCCAATTAAAAAATGGGCAAAGGATATGAACAGGCACTTCACTGAAGAAGATATGCAGGAGGCTAACAGACACGTGAAGAAATGTTCACAATCATTAGCTATTAGAGAAATGCAAATCAAAACTACAAAGAGACACCATCTGACCCCAACAAGGCTAGCATTAATCCAAAAAACACAAAATAATAAATGTCAGAGAGGTTGTGGAGAGACTGGAACACTTATACACTGTTGGTGGGAATGTAAAATGGTACATCCACTTTGGAAATCAATTTGGTGCTTCCTTAAAAAGCTAGAAATAGAAGTACCATACGATCCAGCTATCCCGCTCCTTGGAATACATCCTACAGAAATAAGAGTCATCACACCAATAGATATATGCACGCCCATGTTCACTGCAGCACTGTTCACAATGGCAAAAAGATGGAAACAACCTAGGAGCCCATCAGCGGATGAATGGATAAACAAATTATGGTATATTCACACAATGGAATACTATGCAACCATAAAGAATAACCATAAACCCGTGAAACATCTTATAACATGGAGGAATCTGGAAGGCATTTTGCTGAGTGAATTTAGTCACAAAAGGACAAATATTATATAAGACCACAATTATAAGAACTCAAGAAAAGGTTTAAACACAGAAGAAAACATTCTTCGATGGTTAGGAGGGGTGGGGAGGGAGGGAGGGAGGGAGAGGGTTATTTACTAACTAGATAGTAGATAAGAATTACCTTAGGTGAAGGGAAGGACGGCACACACTACAGGGGAAGTCAGCACAACCGGACTAAACCACAGCTAAGAAGTTTCCTGAATACAACCAAACACTTCAAGGGACAGAGTAGCAGGGGTGGGGATATGGGGACCATGCTTTCAGGGGACATCCAGGTCAACTGTCATAACAAAGTTTATTAAGAGAAATGTTCTTCATCCTGCTTTGGTGAGTGGCGTCTGGGGTCTTAAGAGCTAGCAAGTGACCGTCTAAGATGCATCAATTGTTCCCAACCCAACTGGAGCAAAGGAGAATGAAGAACACCAAACACACAAGGAAAGTGTTAGCCCAAGAGACAGAAAGGGCCACATAAACCAGAGACTTCATCAGCCTGAGACCAGAAGAACAGGATAGTGCCCGGCTACCACCAATGACCACCCTAACGAGGAACACAACAGAGAGTCCCTGATGGAGCAGGAGAAAAGTGGGGTACAGAACTCAATTCTAGTGAAAAGACCAAACTTAATGATCTGACTGAGACTGGAGGAACCCCCGAAGGCATGGCCCCCAGACACTCTGTCAACCCAGAACTAAAACCATCCCCAAGGCCAACTCTTCAGACAAAGATTAGACTGGACTATGAGACATGAAATGATACTCGTGAAAAGTGTGCTTCTTAGCTCAAGTAGATACATGAGACTAAATTGGCAGTTCCTGTCAGGAGGTGAAATGAGAAGGCAGCGAGAGTCAGGAGCTGGCTGAATTGACAGGGGAAATCAGGGGTGGAAAGGAGCAGTGTGCTGTCACTGTATAGGGAGTGCAATTAGGGTCACATAACAACATATATATGAGTTTTTGTATGAGAAACTAACTTGAATTGTAAACTTTCACTTAAAGCAGAACAATAAAATAAAATCAATTTTTTTTAAAAAGTGTATGGATATAAATGAGACAATTTTCCCTTTCTTAAGCTTAAGTTGTAAATAGTGAATAAAATCCAAATAATTTTGCATAAACACTTTAGTAACACATTATAGATTTGGCTACAGCTAAAATGACTGGTTAGCATGTCATTTTAAAAGGCAATTATTTTGGTCTCATACATGCGGGGCAAATATTAATGCTCAGAATTTGTCAACACATAATCCACAAATATTACAGAACTCATATCATGATCACTTTCTATACAAAGATAGAAAGAAGCTGAAAAACACTATCAACTACAGAAGAAAATACAGTAGGAAATTATATGAGACAACTAATTAGCCTGGCTAAACTGGTGACATAATAAAAAATGACACTCAAGCAAGCTCAGAACAACATAGTTTTGTACACAACAGCCTCCCTTACTCATCACCAAAACATTTCCTAAGATTCAGGATCTGCAAGATCATAGCATTACAGATCACTGAAAAATACAAATACATATGATCCTACAGTCTGTTCATTACATAGTTCATAGAAAGAAAATGGCTTTCAAAATAAACTGTTTATATTCCATGTATGCCTTCTTTCTCAAAATTTAAATCTTTTTTTTTTTTTCCTAGTATGACTCTGTTGTTGATCTCAAAAATCAAAGGTGCTAAAAATATGTCAAAGCTGCTGACTGGAAAAAAAAAAAAAAAACCCCACACAATAGTGATTAAACGAAAAAGAAATGCTTCAGAAATTCTCCGTATCTACACATCATTTTTCATTTCCTTTTCTGACAAACTTTTATTTTCAGACATACCTAATATACTAATATGATAAGCATATCATAATAAAGACTTGGAAGAATCTAAATATTACCCAGTTGTTTTAGAAGAAGTAGTATAAATTTCCTCAAAATCTATACCCTGAACAAACCACCACCGAAAACGGAGAATGGCAAGACACTGCCCTGATTGCTTGTTAAAGCTTACTTGCCAAGATTTCCATTTCAACATTTGACTAATTAATAAACATGACACAACTTAAAAAACATACATATGCTAAAACTATGCACCAAAAAAATTGGCCCTGTTTAAACTATGAAGACGATGAATGAGAAAGTAAAAAGCTACAGGTGACAGCAAGTATTTTTCCTCACATCATGGAAAACATTTTTAAAGATTTAAACATTTTTTTTAAATTCCAAGAAAAAGACAACTTACTAGCATGCTTGTCAGCAAGCATTATAAGCGTGTTGGAGATATCTCGTCGTCTATAGAAGCATACTACTTTTGCTTCCACGTTGCCGCTTGCAGTCTAAGAAATAAGAAAGTAAATGTCATCTGCACTGAATATTAGATTCAAATAGTTTATAAAACAAAAGTAGATACAGCTGAATTATAAGATCACTCACTGATTTATACTGTGCCAACCACAACAGCAGGATAAACAGAGAGCTATGTAAATAATACAAATTAAGGATGGTCAGGTCAAGTGACACTGGAATGTAAAACATAAAATAACTCATTGGCATCAATTAAATGAAAGTGATTAGATTGCTTTAATGACTAAAGTTAGCCATAGTTAACTCTGCTTAGCCTTAATCCAAAAAATTGTAAAGGCCACAGTAAAACTTACTTAAGATATTTAGTTGAATATCCTCCAAACTCATTCCTAGAAGCACAGGCTAAGCGTAAAATCCCCCATCCTTCTACACATCCCCGATGGTGAAACTCTCCCTGTAGGAATGGACCAATCCTAATGCAGATGGGATCAGATGACTTGCTTCCGGCCCAAGGGAGTCTATGAATCCATAATAGTCAATATTCTTGGTAGTATTTAGTTTACCTTCACATATGAAAGTCTTAAGGACCTTGACTTATGAATACTGAAGCTCTTATTTCTTTTTGACTACAGTCTAGAATGCAGTCAGTATTCAGTCAGGTTGTAATTTACCGCAGCTGGGGCCTGGGCTGCTCATCTCCAAATCTCTATGAATTCTGAGAGCTTTCAAGAAGGCCAATCATTAACAAAGTTCCTTGTAAAAGCACATAGATTACCATAAAATGCTATTGTGATTTCCATTTTCAAACAAATTTGAGAACTTCCAGAATTTCTTTGAGCTTACAGACATATTCAAATATAAAGAAGTAAGACTACATACATATGGTGCAGTAAATGTGTCAATTTTATGAGGTTCAGCAGCAGTATTTTAGAGTGACAAATAGTTCTGCAGAAATATTACCCCCTAAGATTGAAATCATATTAAATCCCAACCAAAATGCTTCTGTATTTCATAATATTATGAACAAATACATCCTCCAGAAGTAATGATCCAGCAATCTGCTAAATGAGCAGGCCAATACTTCCACGTAAATAAAATCCATCAACGGCTTCAGCTATAAGCTCTTTATCATTTTTGTCTTCTTGGGTTAAAATCAAAGCAAGAGTTTCAAAGCATATTTTTTCTGCCTCACCAATGATGTCCTCCAATAGGGATACTCTACAAAGCTAATTAAATTCTTGTTTAAATCTGTTTATGGTAGGGGTGGGAGCATAATTCAAAACAAATATTCTCCTCTGGGCCATGCACATGCCCACCTATTGGCTATTACGTAGTTCACAACTACAATATTCCTCTTTCTCTCTACAATAAATACACACACACACACACACACACACACACACACACACACACACACACACACACACACACACACACCCTCAGGCATTGCTCTAACGATCAGCTAGTCATATCATGGCCCCCTGCCCAGTTCCAAGCCACAACTGTTACTAGTGTGTAATGAAATAAGTACGGAGATTGAGAGTAAGCATATTACAGTAATTGACAGAGTTTATTTTATATCTATTGAATCTAATAAAAAAATTGGGGCTTATATTCTTATAAGTCATTTTTCAACTTCATTTTTCTATTAATTTTTCTTTTTTTTTTGTATTTTACAAAAGTAGCAGACTGTGATAAACTGAAAATTTTTTTTTTAATTCACTACAAATAGTTTGAGAAGCAATGTTCTAAAGACCTAGGCTAAACATTTGGTATACATAAAATTCCGGTTACTCTTTCAACTCAGCAAATTTCTTTGGCGCCCTCACTATGTGCCAAGCACTGTGCTAAGTACTGATGATGCCTGGCATGTGCCCTCAGTGAGCTTCCACTCCAGCAAGGGTGCCTCTACGCCAGCCATCCCAAGCCCAGTTGAAATTGTGTCCCTCACCTAATTAAAAACCTTCAACAGTTTCCCCCAACTAAAGGATAAGGGTAAAACTCTAGCTTTCCTGACTTCCTACAGTATTTCAGCCTTGCTCTCCTTTACTCCTTCTCTTCCCTTCAGACTCCCTTTCTCACTCCAGGAAGCAGAGAGAAAGTACAGTCTGTTGGGAGAAAGGCAAAAAAAGCTTCACAAAGGGGGAAATGAGGTGGAGGGTCCCTAGGAGGCTAGGAAGAAAGGCAAAGATTTCAACAAGTGAAGCCTTAGGGGCAGAGTATTCTAAGAAAAAAGAGGGTCATGAGCAAAGACTCACGTCGGGAAAAGTAGGGACAAGTCTAAAAAGGTTAATGAACATAGATTTCTTTCCTGGGATGTTTCTCCATGTAGGTTGTAGCCTCTTAAATCTTCACTCTGCCAGACACGTTTACTAAAATATCCTCTAGCAACAAGGGGCTTTTTTAAAGCTCTAAAATCATTTCAGTCAACCTTATACTCAACTTAGTTTCTATTTCAGACATAGGAAGTACTTTATTTAAAAAGGAGCTCTGGTGGCATAGTGGTTAAGAGCTCGGCTGCTAACCAGAAGGTTGGCAGTTCGAATACACCAGCTGCTCCAACCTACCGGGCAGCTCTACTTCATCCCATAGGTCACTATGAGTCAGAATGGACTCGAGGGCAACGGGTTTTTGTTTTTCTATTTAAAAAAAATCACTTTCCATTTCAGCAAGTCCATGCTTTGCCCAGACTAAAAAATCGGTGGAAAAAGGGATTTTGCTTTCTTAATTTCTGTCCATATTCCCAACAGATCCAAAATGGCAGCAAGATTTTTAACTTCGGTTCCCCGAAAGGGTTTGAGGCACTCCCCTGAAAATGGGCGTAGAATCTTCCAAGTGCAAAGGTGGACTGCAGTATAGGGAGGGTGCATGGTTTCGTCAGATACTCACTCCCCTGCTCACTCCAAAATAAGACACAGGAAGTTAGAGATGGCTAATAGTAAAATACACAGACTACAATGATTATGAAAATACATGTAAATTATACAACATATACACACAAAATCTAGTAGGTACAACCAATCATTAACAAATTATATGCTAATTTACCCACAAGCATACATTCCATATTTCCTAAGACTACATATGTTTTAAGGAAACTTCTTTATTATGTGCTCAAAGCTTTCTTCCAACCTGTATGCAGGCTCAAACTTGAGAAGCAAAAGCAACACCCAACCTCAAGAGCGACTAAATAAAATTTACCAGAAAGTTATTTTCTATTTTAACCTTGTATTCTTCCTCTAAAAGGTCGTCTTTTCTTTATCAGAGTACAAACTAGGAGAGAGGGAAAGCGGGAGTATACGACAAACAATGTTGAGCTGTGTTCATCAACAGATACTTAGTTTTGCATCTACAAGTTCCCAAAACTTTGAGAAAAAATTGAGACATAAATCTATTACTGTAAAATAAATAAAATAGTACCGTCCTGTTAAAGGCGAGCTTGTAGCATTTCCAATAGAATTTTTTTAAAACAGAAGACCATCCTGTAAATGAATTTTCTATAAAAATGGTGATTGATAGCTTATTCCAAGAATTTTGTTGAAAAAAAAAACATTCTATTTAGAAGCTAGTTAATTAAATAGGTTAATGTCTCTTCTTCCCCTAGCTTATCAATTAGAACACATCATATCAGTTACATTTTACTTAAATGGTTTAAACTATATGGATCCTCCAATCATGCTGACTAACCTTCCCACTTAGCCAACCTCACTTGATCTTCTCAGATCTTGCAGCCTCTCCTCTCATGGCCACCAATTTCCCATCCTTAAGGCCTCAACTTCAAAGTCCTTAAAGGGCCTCCCCACTGCCTTATCTAAAGTGAAATGAGCTCTGTTATTCACTATGTCAAGTCTATTGCTTATTTCCTTCTTAGAAGTTAACACGTTTATTATCGTTTTCTTTATGCCCGTTAGACTGTCTTTTCATGTGTCTACCTCATGGGAATGTAGACCCTTTGTGGCCAGACACCATGGCCATCTTGTTCACTGCCGTATCTCTGAGCCTAGCACAGTACCTGGTATATAATAGGTGCTCAACAAATATTTAATTCTTTAAAAATGAGATGTCTCTAATGGACCACAGCTACCAAGGCCTCCACCAGACTGAGTCCAGTACAGCTAGATGGTGCCCAGCTACCACCACTTACCGCGCTGACTGGGATCACAACAGAGTTCTGGACAGAGCTGGAGAAGGATGTAGAACAAAATTCTAACACACACACACAAAAAAGACCAGATTCACTGGCCTGAAAGAGACTGGAGAAACCCCGAGAGTATGGTCCCCAGACACCCTTTTAGCGCAGTGGTGAAGTCACTTTCGAGGTTCACCGTTCAGCCGGGGAATGGACAGCCCCATAAAACAAAACGGGACTAATGAGGCACCGCAGTCCGGGGACAAGGATTAGAAGGCAGAAGGGGACAGGGAAACTGGTGATAGGGAACCCAAGTTTGAGTAAGGACAGTGTTGACATGTAGTGGGGTTCTTAACCATTGTCATAGGGCAACAGGTGTACTGTTTAACAAGAAACTATTCTGTTCTGTAAACCTTCATGTAAAGTGAGAGTAACAGCACAACTGGAAGAACGTAATCGATGTCACTGAATTGTGCATGTAGAAATTTTTGAAATGGTGTATCTTTGGTTATGTATATTTTCACCAGAAAAGGGTCAAGAAGGGAGAGGGTTGACATGTCATGGGATTGTTAACCAATGTCATAAAACAATATATGTACTGACTGGTGAGAAACTATTTGTTCTGTAAACCTTCACCTAAAGTACAATTAAAAAAAAAAGAGAGAGAGAGATGTCTCTCTCACACTCCTTCAGAAATAAAGACCCTAGGTAAGTGTTTAGTATTTAACAAGTCAATCTCAGTTCTTATTTACTTAATACACCATCCATTCAAACTGACATTCTATAAAATTACAGATAATCCCATCTCTTACAGTTGACTTATCCCAGGCCCTAAAAGGACTGCTATTAGAGTAATGACTGCTGAAAGCAGGCAGGGAGGGAGTGTGGACAGGGTGCGGGGGAACTCTTTTGAAGTGAATGGTAATAAAATGGAAAAAAAAAACGCCATTGAGTTGATTCTGACTCATAGAGACCCTACAGTACAAAGTAGAACTGCCCCACAGGGTTTCCAAGGAGTGGCTGGTGGATTCAAACTGCTGCCCTTTTAGTTAGCAGCCAAACGCTTAACCACTGCACCACCAGGCCTCCTAATATAATGCAAAAGGAGTGTGAAATGATCCAGGTTCAAGTTACAAGTGTAACTCAGTTATTTACACACTGTGTGCCTCATGACAATTCATGATTTATCTACCTTAAAGGTTTAAGGTTACTGTGAGACTCAAAAGAGATAACAAATGTGAATCCCCAGATTATATGCTTTCACAGCACCATACTCTGGTGTTTTTAAACTTAGAACCGCAATTTTACTTTCATTTGTGGCATGATTTGGCTGATGTCTACCTTCCCTACAACAGTTTTTGCTCACCCTTGCATCCTCAGTGTGTCTAAAAGTGTCTGGCAAGCAGTAGGTCTTCAAGAAATATTTGTAAAATGAATGAATCAGAGTACTTTACTTTGTAAACAACAAAGCTATGTGTAAGTATTAACTTCAGACATTTGAGAACTTCACTTGGAATGCCTAACTATGGGCTAGGAGTTCCTGGATGGTGCAAAGACAATCGAAAAGTTGGAGGTTCGAGTCCACACAGAAGCACCTTGGAAGAAAGACCTGGAGCTCTATTTCTGAAAAAGCAACCACTGAAAACGCTATGGAGCTCAGTGCTACTCTGACACACATGAGGTTGCTGCCATGAGTTGGAATCAATTCAATGGCAACTGGTATGTTTTTTTTACTGTGGCATCCGCTATTCTAGGGCACTTAGGATACATCAGTGAACAAAACAGAATAGATCACTATACACTTACAGCTTACATTCTAGTGCAGAAAAACAGGCAATAAAAATAAGCACAATAAATACGTATATTTGAAAGTGACAAATGATACGGAGAAAAGAGCAAGGCACAGGGTATTGGCAACAACTAAGGAGGGTGCACTTCTGGGTGGCACAAATGTTTTGCTCCTAGCTACTAATCTAAAGGTTGGCAGTTCAAACCCACCCAGCAGCACCACAGGAAAAAGGCCTAGAGATCTGCTTCTGTGAAGATTACAGTCAAGAAAAACCTATGGAGCAGTTCTACTCCATAACACATGGGGTCGTCATGGGTCAGAATCAACTGTACAGCAACTGGTTTAAGGTTGGTGTATGTGGGAAACAGTCGAGAGTGCACACTGTGCCTGCAGCAGAATGAGCAACATGGAGAGTAGCAAGAATAGAGGTCAGAGAGGGACAGGGCACAGCCAGAGAGTATGAGTCTCACAGGCCAACATTTCTGTTTGAATCCTAATTAACCTTCTAAATAAATTGATATGATAAGGCATAAACTGCTAGGCCCTGCATCAATAACATAAACAAGAAGCAGATCAGAATTATACCCCAACAGTTTCCATCCACAGATGGATCTAAATCGAGGCCATTCTATGCATTCAGTGGTGGTCTCAAATAGTAGTTAATTTTTAAAGATGCAAAGTCCCTGGGGTATCCCCAGAAGCAAACCAGGATCTCAAGGCTCTTTAAACCAGTGAAGAGTTAGGCCAGGACATGCTTCCTGGGACTCAGAACTGGACCACATTGGTCCAGTTTGGGAAGAGATATTAGCTAGACAGCCTCAAAGATTTTAACACTATGAATTCTCACAAGCTACAGAAATAACCCTCAAAGTGGTCTGGTGGAAATCAGAGCATCATTAGAAACCTATGGTCCAGGTAGTTTATGACTTCTTTCGAATGCCTCCATTGTAAAAGCTTATTTACTGCAAACAGTCACAATGCTTCTGATGTCCTGGGATCTACAATCAAGGATTAAACTCAATGTAAAACTTTTGGGCGTAAGGTACAAAGTCATTGTATATTATACCAAATCCAGAATTTTACAAGTTCCCTTCAATATAATACTGTTTCCTAGCATTCATCATCTAAAGCTGGAAGGGGAAAAAAAATATTTCACAAAAAGGCAGAAACACAAATTATGACTGTAAATATAAAAAGGAACTACTTGAGTTACAGGAGTGACCTGCTTTCTGAGAGGCTCTAAGCAAACTGAAGAAGCCTGCAGACTTTAAATATACATCCAATAGCATCATTTACTATCATTTAATATCAGAGAGAAAAATGGTAGTTATGAAAAGCAAAATAATACTCGGAAGACTATATAACTCTCCAATCTCAGACCCCTACTTTCAAAGAGTCTGGGACTGAAAGTAAAGTTACCTCTTGTGCTCCTTACCCAATTACCCTTCAATGGAAACCAAATTATTTTTTAATATTAGAATCAAGAACACTCATTATATGTACCTTGTTGAGTTCTTCTATCCTTCTGATCAGGTATGGGTTGCTGGAAGAATTCTCAAAGTAGACATAATCTGTAATTAAAGAAAATAAAGAGCTTAATCTTTTCAATAGAAAGATCACATCTGTCAATCTACAACTTCCTTTATCAGGCAATTCACATTCAAAATTAGGCATCTAATTCTTTCACTGGTAAAAGCAAACAGTAATGCAACTCTATTATATTCTCTCATGTGTCTTACTATTCACAGACTCTTATTTTCCTGACATTTTCATTTCAGTTGATGTTTTATTGAGTTTTCCTAGACCTTTATCCCGCTTTTCATTTCTTTAATAATAAACAAAGAGACACCTCTCATCACTAAACAAGTGTCTTCCAGCCTACAGCTACTTCCACATCTCTTCCCTCCAGTCAAATCTGCCCTGGAGTATGCCTCTCACATAAAACTATTGACCTAAGACAAATTCAGAATGGTTGTGAAAGGCTTAGCAGCCCAACCTCCATTTCAATCACCAACTTTAAAAAAAAAAAAAAACCAATCAGATGGGCAGAGGAGGTTAGAGGAAGCACACTGACAAACTTTACCACCACTGTACCTGGGAAGATGGAAAACGGGAGTGGGGGGACAGGCCTCACTTTCTGAGAGGCAGAGCACTCATGATGTGACATAAGAATCATTTTTACCCTTTTACCATGTTTAATCCAGACCCATTTAAGGTCTTGTTACCAAGAAATCGCCGCAGGCTTTCAACAGAAAGGTCCAAAATTTTTTAAGTGTGGCTTTTGCTCTAATAGGCTCACTGGAAATTTCCCACTGTGTGTTTATCCGAGAGGCTGGACTGCATTGTTACTGTCTATCTTAGTCGCTCTTTCCCGTCTCTCTTCTGCAAAGTGGCCTCATTTAGCCAGGCCATTCTCACTATCATCCATCAGGAGCTCAGCTAATGAGCAGAGAAGGAAGAGCAGGTCTCATACACAAACACGCCACTTATCTGAATTATTATTTTACCAGGAAAGAGGAGGAGGGCGTCGTGAGTAGGGAGAAAGTTTGTTTGACCTTATTTCTCTCTTCTGAAGAAGACGGGGTAGGAGGCAGACAGCAGAACAAACGTCCAGCCAGAGATCAACTCCCCACCTCTAGCTGTGGCTCCCTGGCCCCATCAAGCCCCAATCTTGGGGGGCTGAAGGAGAAACAGAAGGAGTAAGGAAGGGGAGGTGCAAGGCTCTGTCCCTGCGGACAGGCCTGTCCAGCTGTGTCTCTAGCTGAACCCCCATCGCCCCCCACCCCCACCCCACATTCCCACTGAAGGGGAGGAGTACAGTGGGCATGTCCCCCCTCATCCTCTCCAACCCCCACTGCCTTGAAGCTACGCGAGTAAGAGGCCACCCTGTTATAGGGCTCGAGGGCCCCTACCCCCATGGGGGTTTCATGGCGGAAGGGGGTCTGATAATTCATACTCCCAAGTAGAGGCCTCCAGGGCCTAAAAAACTGGGGAGGGGGCGAGGGTGTTGGTGGGCCCTGGCCCCCAGCAGGCCACGGGGCGGGGG